CTATAAAGTGTAAGACGGTAATCCTCGCTGAGATGCTGCAAACACGAAGAGCAAGATAAGGTGCGATTTAGTGGCACCGGGAGTTGGCCGAGGAGACGAATATGAACGGTCTGGATAGCATCGGAGATCGAATAACTCACTGCAGCGCGAGTTCAAGGAGCTCCTGTGTGTTGTGCTGTTACGTGAGGTGAATAAAGGGTTCATGCAAAATGCATAAGAATCTACATTAAAAGTGGGTAAATCTGTAATTATAAAAAGGGCGTGTCAAAAAATGAATGAAAAAAACAGGTCTCTGCTCCAAAAGTTTGTAGCTTTGTTTCAGGTTTTATAAAGGTCACTTTGAATAACTACTAAAATTTTCACTTGGAGTCGACACGAGCAGAACAGCAAACGTTAATTTATTAATTTTACTAAGCCATGCATAACTAAAATCATATATATAATACATATTATATATGCACATATACACATATATATATATATATATATATTATAATATATATATATATATATATATATATATATATATATATATATATATATATATATATATATATACAGAGAGAGAGAGAGAGAGAGAGAGAGACGCGCACTTGTGCGCGCAATGTGTGTGTGTGTGTGTGTGTGTGTGTGTGTGTGTGTGTGTGTGTGTGTGTGGTTTTAGTGTCCAAGAACACCTTAGAAAGTTTGCTGAGTTAAATGAAAATTAGCGAGTAATAATTCGGGAAATATTTTCTATGACTAATCAGACTGTATTTCTATCATAATCCACTTAAAGACGTTTTTGTAAAGAAGTTTCATATCGAAAGACTTACATAAAATATATGTATATAATCTCTCTCTCTCTCTCTCTCTCTCACAACACACACACACACACACACACACACACACACATACATACACATATATGTTTTTATGATTTTTGATGAATTATATGAACTAAAACTATTCATAATTCGATCTTTTCTTTTACATAATTCTGTAGTACTTTTATATAATTTTCCCTTTCTGTAACTGTAAAAATAATTACCTGATATTGAAATAGGGCATTAACTTCAAGGAAAATATTGAATAGCATATACGGTCAACCTAAAGTTTTCTGTTGCTATGTATAAAAAAAAATGCAGCCATTTAGGCTTATCTCAAAATTACCACCTTGTACACTGACCCTTCTAGCACTTGGCCCCTAGATATGTAGTTATATTTGTCTATCTATCTGTCTGTCTGTCTGTCTATCTATATGTGTGTGTATGTTTATATATGTATGTGTGTATCAATTATTCTCATCATCAGCAACATAATTACAAATAACATCACGCTTAAAATGCACAATATCTTTTTTCGATACATGCCGAACAGTAATAAGATATTACGAAGCCTATCCGCCTGCCCATGGTCGACGGAATCAATTTAGATAAGAACAAGCAAGGAAATTCGGATTCCTGATAGAAGGGAAGAGAGAAGTGGGACACTGAATTTCTTGCTCCTTGTAAATATTTTTATAACTGTTATTCATGATCATTCTTATCCTCATCACTATTGATATCAACTTTGTTATTATCATTATAATCATTTTCATTATTTTTGTCGGTATCAATATAAATATTATTATGGTTGTTTTTTTGTTATTATTATTATTTTGACAGGCATTATTGGTAATATTAATATGGTTATTTTATCATAATTGTTACCATCATCACTAGCTTTGTGTTTGTTTATTATTCTTATCATGATCTTAAATTTCATGATAATTATAATAATCGGTACCGTTACTGTTATCGTATCGTGATCGTTATCGTTCACGTTTTCTTTTTTTAGTGATCATGATCATGATCGTCATTATCGTTGACATGAACTTTATCTCTTTATCGTCATTATAATATTTCTATTATCATCATCAAACCATTGCGTTTAACGTGAATATTCATATTAGACCAAGTAGAAACCTTAGGCTCAGGTAAGACTCTGGAGGTGATTTGGTAGATCGGGATTTTTTTATTTATATTTATTTATTTATTTGTATTACTATTATTATTTTAAGAAGTTATGTAATGCATACGTTCATGGTCACCACCTCACTGTAAACCCTGCCTCCCAGATCTATATATCACACTGTAAATATTATAAATAAAAATAAAATTAAAATGCAAATCTCAGTCAGAGGCCTGCCGTTTTGATATCGAGATGATTAACGCTCGCCCTTAGCGGCATCGCTGTAAATCAGTAAAAGACAATAGACGAAATGCAGTTCCAAAGTTGTATTTTGGCGGTATTTTTGAAAATCAGGGTTTTAGAATTGTGGCAGATGGGAATCCAGCGATATGTAATTTTGAGTCGGCATATTTTTCGGCATAAAATAATATAGTCGGTCGGGTTAATTGAACCAGATATATATATATTTTTTTCCTTAACATCTGCCTGGGTCTACCATTCTCATTCTTAATTTTCTTGCCCATTTTCTTCTCAGTATCACCATCATCACCCTCATCATCAATCATCA